CTGTGCTCCCTAGTTTGGTCACAGACTGGTGAACGACACCATTCCAGCACCTTCAAGGGCTCCCCCATCCCCTGAGAGCCAGCCTCTCCCTGATGCCTATCCCGATGTGTGCCCACAGGCCAGTCTGAGAGTGTGCGAGACGTGCAGTTCAGTATCCGTGACTACTTTACCTTCGCCTCCACCTTTGAGAATGGCAACGTCCAGCTCTGGGACATCCGCCGACCAGACCGGTGCGAAAGGATGTTCACAGCCCACAACGGGCCTGTCTTCTGCTGTGACTGGCACCCAGAGGACAGGTGTGTGGGGGCTGGGGGGACATTAAGGTTGGAGGCTACAAGACAGTGGGGTGTGGCAGGGTCTCCCTTCCTGCAGGAGCGGTCACTGAGAGCTTGAATGGGACCTTCTCCACAGGGGCTGGCTGGCCACAGGTGGACGAGACAAGATGGTGAAGGTCTGGGACATGACCACACATCGTGCCAAGGAGATGCACTGTGTGCAGACCATCGCCTCAGTGGCCCGAGTTAAATGGCGGCCTGAGTGCCGCCACCACCTGGCCACGTGCTCCATGATGGTGGACCACAACATTTACGTATGGGATGTACGCCGGCCCTTCGTGCCTGCTGCTATGTTTGAAGAGCACCGTGATGTCACAACAGGCATTGCCTGGCGCCACCCACATGACCCCTCTTTCCTACTCTCTGGCTCCAAGGACAGCACATTGTGCCAGCACCTGTTTCGTGATGCCAGCCAGCCTGTTGAGCGTGCCAACCCTGAGGGCCTCTGTTATGGCCTCTTTGGGGACCTGGCCTTTGCTGCTAAGGAGAGCCTGGTAGCTGCTGAATCTGGGCGCAAACCCTATGCTGGTGACCGGCGCCACCCCATCTTCTTCAAGCGCAAGTTAGATCCTGCTGAACCTTTTTCTGGTCTGGCTTCCAGTGCGCTCAGTGTCTTTGAGACAGAGTCCGGTGGTGGCAGCATGAGCTGGTTCGTGGATACAGCTGAGCGCTATGCTCTGGCTGGTCGGCCACTGGCTGAGCTCTGTGATCACAACGCAAAAGTGGCTCGGGAGCTTGGCCGCAACCAGGTATGTGGGCTGGGGGCCCAGGGGCTACGATTTGGGCCCCTGCTGCTGGGATAGGGCACCATACCCACAACCACCTTGAGCTTTGTACATTGCTCTGGTCGGTCACCATGCCAGCCTTTGCCAAAGTATTTGACAGTGTTAAAGATCATGAGAGCCAGAGTAGCCCAGACCCTGGGGTCAGCCTCAGGGCTGGAGGCCTAGGGAGTCAAGTGCCCACAGCACCCTCTTCTGCCTCACTTTTGGTGCTGGAGCTGCCTCTGGTGACAGTTTTGTCACCATAGGTGGAGATAGTCCTTTTTCCATGTGCCACAATTTCCCTACGGATTGGTATATGATTCTGCCCAGAAGACGGGGGCTAGCCTGGGTGCTGGGTGCCCAGAACCCATGAATGGTTGGTGCCTACCCCTAGGTGGCACAGACATGGACCATGCTACGGATTATCTACTGTAGCCCTGGCCTGGTGTCCTCTACCAATCTCAACCACAGCGTCGGCAAAGGCAGCTCCTGTGGCCTACCACTCATGAACAGGTAGATCCTTGGCCACTTCCTGCCCTTCCTTCCCCTGCGAATTGCTGGGGCCTGGCCACCCACAAGCCTTCCCTACCTCTAGCTTCAATCTGAAGGATATGGGCCCAGGGCTGGCCAGTGAGACTCGGCTAGATCGCAGCAAAGGGGACACACGGAGCGACACAGCTCTGCTTGATTCTTCAGCTACACTCATCACCAATGAGGGTAGGCAGGGATGTTGATGGGAAGAGGGCTGGGGAGCCACTCCCTGAATGACCTCCTTTCCCTGCTGAGCAGATAATGAGGAGACTGAGGGGAGTGACGTGCCTGCTGACTACCTGCTGGGCGATGTAGAGGGAGAGGAGGACGAGCTGTACCCACTGGACCCGGAGCATGTGCACTGTGAGTGGGGGCTGGGTGCAGTAGAGTTGCTGTAGAGGGCTCGGACCTGGAGCATGGCTCTGACAGGAGCTGAGGGGAGTGGGAAGCCTAGGCTCAGGTCCATCTTTCCTCACCCCTGCCCCTCAGCGGAAGAGCCTGAATATGTGCTGCCGCAGGAGGCCTTCCCACTGCGCCATGAGATAGTAGACACACCATCCGGGCCTGAACATCTGCAGGACAAAGCTGACTCTCCACATGTCAGCGGCAACGAGGCAGACACAGCCTCCTTGGCACCAGTAGACTCTTCCTCCTCCCTCCTTTCCGTCTCACATGCCCTGTATGACAGCCGCCTGCCGCCTGACTTCTTCAGTGTGTTGGTGCGGGACATGTTGCACTTCTATGCCGAGCAGGGCGATGTGCAGATGGCTGTGTCTGTTCTCATTGTGCTGGGTGAGAGAGTACGCAAGGACATCGACGAGCAGACCCAGGTGTGTGATGGGTCTAGCCACTTGTCCCCTCATCTGAGCCTGCTTCTTTTCTGCTGTACCCCTGCCCCAGTTTGCCTGGAAACACTAACCTGAACCGTCTCCTTCCCCCAGGAGCACTGGTACACATCCTACATTGACCTGCTGCAGCGCTTCTGCCTCTGGAATGTTTCCAATGAGGTGGTGAAGCTGAGCACCAGCCGGGCAGTTAGCTGCCTCAACCAAGCCTCCACCACTCTGCACGTCAACTGTAGTCACTGCAAGCGGCCCATGAGCAGCCGTGGCTGGGTCTGCGACAGGTGCAATGACAGGCAGAATTTGGGGGTGGGAGGGAGGAGACCCAGAACCCCCAACTGAATGGCCCTCCCATTCCCAGGTGCCACCGCTGTGCCAGCATGTGTGCCGTCTGCCATCATGTGGTTAAAGGTCTGTTCGTGTGGTGTCAGGGCTGTAGTCACGGCGGGCATCTTCAGCACATCATGAAATGGCTGGAAGGCAGCTCCCAGTGCCCTGCAGGCTGCGGCCATCTCTGCGAATACTCCTGACCTGGCCTTCCCTGAGACTGAGACAGCTTCCTCAGCTCAACCCTGAAGTCCACCTGTCTAGACCCACAGCTTCTTACCCATCCCATCTACGGGAATGGAAGGTGGCTGCAACCTGTTAACACAATAAAAACAGGAGCTACTTAGCCACTTGTCACTTTGATTGCGCCACAGGCGGGAACTTCCTTACAGAAGAGAACTTCCGGTAGGGGTGCTGTAGCCATGGTTACCCGCAATAGCCAATGGCTGCTAAACACTCCACCTTGAGGAAATGATTGAGGGTGGGAGAGTGGATGGTTTGTGTGTGTGTATGTGTGTGCGTGTGTATGAAAGAGAAGGCTCCCAGGGCCAGGCTGGTTGCTGCTTTCCGATAGCTACAGCAGTCGGGGCGGTAGGCCAATGGTTCGTGATTACGCAAGTGTCGACGGAATTCCCAGTGTGCTGCGCGCCTGCGCCCGTATGTTCATGGCGGCGACTAGCCGGCTAGGGCCGCTTTTGCTCTTTGTACTATGGACGATGGTGACTGTGGTTCTGCCTGGCTCTGGCGAAGGGGGATGGTGAGCGGCTGGGAATGAGCGGCGGGAGGGAGCCTGAGCTCAGAGCCCTGGCACGTTGCGTTAACCTGTTGTCCCCGCAGGCAGCAGAGCGGGCTGGGGACTGCAGCAGCAGTGCCGGAGGAGCGTTGCACTGTGGAGCGCCAAGCACACCTCACATACGCCGAATTCATGCAGCAGTATGTGTCCCTGACCCTAGTTTCTAGGCATACCCCAAGCATGGCCTTTTGGCTGCGGAGGTCATACCTTCACTGCCTGATGGAGTGAAGTATGAACGCGAGGTTCTTTCTCTCCCAGCTATGCCTTCGTCAAGCCGGTCATATTACTGGGACTCACAGACAACTCGGTGAGTATTTGTACCCATATGGGCAGCTAGTCCAGATTGACCAGTTGCTCAGTTATTTTATCCTCCAACCCCAGCGGTTCAGGGCCCTGTGCTCTCGGGAAAACCTGCTGGCCTCGTTTGGGGACAACGTTGTTCGCCTGAGTACAGCCAACACCTACTCCTACCGGAAAGGTGAGCTTATCACACTCTTCAAGGCCTGCCTGTTTGCCAGCAGCCCAAAGGCAGGACTGACCTGTCTCGACTGGCCCCTTTCTTGTAGTGGACCTGCCCTTTCAGGAATATGTGGAGCAGCTGCTGCATCCCCAGGATCCCACATCCCTAGGCAATGGTGAGCCAAACCTAGGCAGCATTGGGAACGGGACACTTAGGACTCCACTGCTGTGGGTCAGTATTCCTGCCTCTCATCTTCTCTGCTGGCAGACACCCTGTACTTTTTTGGAGACAACAACTTTACTGAGTGGGCACCACTATTCCAGCACTATTCTCCGCCTCCATTTCGTCTACTGGGAACCACCCCTGCTTACAGCTTTGGAATAGCAGGTGGGTGCTTCTTCAAAACAGATTTGGGGAAGCCCATACATATTTTATCAGCTATTCACAAATGACCTCACAGGAGCTGGATCTGGGGTACCCTTCCACTGGCATGGACCTGGTTTCTCAGAGGTGATTTATGGTCGGAAGGTCAGTACAAGGGAACAAGGTTAGGAGCTGAAGTTTGGGGTCTGTAGTCCGTAACACACAAAAGTGATCTTATACTCCTCCTCCAGCGCTGGTTCCTCTACCCTCCTGAGAAGACACCAGAGTTCCACCCCAACAAGACCACATTGGCCTGGCTTCAGGAAATATACCCATCCTTAGCCCCATCAGCTCGGCCCCTGGAATGTACCATTCAGGCTGGTGAAGTCAGTGGCTGGTCGGTGGGGGATTGGGCCAACCCAAAAAGCCCCAACCAATCTTTGTGCTCTCTTCTCCCAGGTGTTGTACTTCCCTGACCGCTGGTGGCATGCCACACTCAATCTGGACACCAGTGTCTTTATTTCTACCTTCCTTGGCTAGCCAAACAGGCAACTGGCAAGCCCACTGCACCAGCACATGCCAATGTAGTGCTCACAGACTTTATTACAGGACAGTGGCAGCAGCAGCAACCTCAGCCCACCCTCACCCACTTTCCAGCCCAGAAGGGGGACAGGGGAGGCTCATGGCCCAGCAAGGGGTATGCCGAGAAGGGGAGCAGTTCAGAACCCATCAGCAGGACTGATGGGGGCAGGCCCAGGGACACAAGCTATATACAGGAACTGGAGCTTCTGTCTCCAGACCCTCCTGGGCTAGGATGCCAGGCAGGACATGGCTTTAGTAGTCCTCTACCCAGCCATTTTCAGAGATGAATGCATCAATGACTTCCTTCATGGCCAAGTTGGGGATGAGTTGTTCCTGGGTCAGAGGGCTCCGGGTCACAGGGTCAAAGTGGCCCACACGCTGCAACAGAGTCAAGGTGGTCAACCGTCTGAGTATACGTTTGATCCTAGTCCCAAGGCCAAGGCCCCTTACCTGCAGGTGCTCCTCAATGTCCTTGCGGTCGTAAGTTATACCACTGGGTGTGATGCAGGGCTCCCGCATCAGCTCAAAGCTGATCTTGCCACACAAGTAGTCAGGGATATCTCGCTTCTACAGCACAATGGGGAAAATGTCTGGAACTGGAAGGGTCATCACACCAGTACCTACCCATGGGTTCAAGAACACTCACCTTTCTCTTCTCGTCCACCTGAGAGAAGAGCTCATCCATGTCTGCCATGTATTTATCCTGTAGAGTTGAGTGCCATGTGTGGGCAACTCCTATCTCCTCCATACAGACACACACACCTTATGTCCACCAGGGCACTCATGTCATGCATGGGCCAACAGATCCACCATAGGCTGGGGCACTTTTCATGCCACACACAAAAACACACACACAACGACCCACATGTGGACTAGGGGCACCCTCACGTGCTTGGCCTCAATGCAGGCCTGCTGGGCCCGGACGTGGCCATCATCCTCATCACCCTCATGGTTCCGCTGACACTCTTCCAGTTCCCTGAGGGGTAACCAGAAGGTAGTCGGGGATGGTCCTGACCAGAAAAGGTCAGAGCCCTCCCCGTTTCAGGCCCCTTTCCTCCTGGGCTTCCCATGTGCCAGTGTTGTCTTTCAATAAACACTTGTGCTGGTGACTCAGTGTCAACCTGATGAAGTAGCTCGGCTCGGGGAGAAGACCCACCTCTCCCGCTCAGCAGCAATGAGCCTGGTGAGATAGGAGTGCAGCTCACTCTCCTGGTGAATGCGCCGTTCCTCGATACTGTTCCAGCGCTTCTTCTTAGCAATGCGAAGGGCACTGGGGATATCATCCCCAAAGTTGAGTCGCTGCTCCTTGGCCAAACTATAGGCTGGGGGAACGGACACTTTAAGTTACACTCATCAACAATCCCGGCCCCAAGGTACCCACAACCTGGCATGGTATCAGCCCACCTCGCTGCAGATTGGCAATGGCCTCATCGTAACTCTCCATCTCTAGCTGGCACTGCCCCAGGAAGAAGTGCGCTTTCACAGACTGCCCGTCCAGCTCCAGGGCTCTCCGGCAGTCAGCGAGTGCCTGTTCAGGCTGCTGCATCTTCAGATAGCACAGGGCCCGGTTGGTGTAGTACACTGCCACAAGTGGGTTCCGGGTCTAGGGACCAAAGCCAGGCATCATAAAGAGTGTGGGCTCAGGGTGCTGACTGCCACCAATGGTACAGGTAATGCTCCAGCTTTGGATCCCATGACTGGGATCGAGAAACTGAAGGTTTCCAGAGCTCTGGATTCTGGCTGTGGTCTCTTAACTCCAACTGAACTGCTTTTGTGAAAATTACCCAGAACCTCTCTCCCAGCTTTGGGGCAAGGGTTCTTGGTGTCATCCTAAGCCTGCCTTAATCGACCATCCCTGGGCTCGGGAACAGTAATCCGGAAGCCAGGGGAACAAGCTAGCCACCGAGTCCTGGCTGCCAGAAAATCGTCTCGGAATCACAGAACTGGGAGGCACATCGGGCCCCGCCCCCGCCCCCGCCCCCCGCACTCACGATGGCGCGGCCGTAGCAGGCCGCCGCCTCCTGGTACTTGCGGCCCACGAAGAGCCGGTTCCCCTGCTCCTTGAGCTCCTGCGCACTCGGACTCTTATCAGGGCTGCCACCGCCAGTGCCCAGTCGCGCGCCGCCCTCCTTTTCCTCCTTGCCCTTCATGGCGCCGCGCGGCACGGCTTGGGCTCCGCGCCCAGCCACCTAGCTCTCACAGCCCGCGCAGCGATCAGCTCCGCCCGGTCGGCGATCCGCCACCGGAACTTCCGGTGTGGGGCGGGGCTGACATGAGGACACGTGAGCAGAGGCGGAGCCTCGCGGCTGCTGAGCCAGTTCACGAAGCGCGGTGACGCCATGGCCGCGCTCTCTACGGGCCCCGCCCCACAGTAACCAGGACCTATCCTCACTATTCGGACCAAGGCTCCGCCCCCTCGACGTTCAAGCCCCGCCCTCCAGCCCACGACACGGGAACGTGGCAGCGGCCCTTGAGAGGTGGCGCTCCGAGGACCGGTCACTGGATTGCTGTCCTAGCTCGTCATGCGGGCGCACGCGGGAGTCTGGGAGCGTCTGGACCGCTGGTAGGACCGCGGAATAGAGGGAAAGAGAGGGAGGGAGGGAGGCCGGCTGGTCAAACCGGCCTCGCGGGTCTTCCCTGGGAATCGGGAAGAACTGCCTGCGGCCATTAATGGCTGAGAAGCAAGCACGTGACACCTTGACACGAAAGGACCTGCAGTGGCTGCTATAGAGGAAACTGCGGGTACGCGGCTGGACTGCTCTCCCTTTCTTGCAGTCATGGGGAGGAGCTTCTTCAAAGGCGGGGGCCCAGCAGGTTTCCTTGGAGAGCGCCCGCACCTCGGACCCTTTGACCTAAAGGTCTGTAGAAGAACCATTCAGAGCCGCTGCCACTGCAGCAGCTGCTGTCTGCTGACTCCCCCACCCCACCCCCCGGAACTGGAGAACCAGAACTCGACTTTCTGCTGATCTGTGCGCCGCAGTCACACTCCTCTGCGTGGTCCTTTGTCATTGCCTCGGAGTGAGTAGGGAGCATCTTTGCCCAAGTTGGGCGCGGACTCTAGGAGGTTTAGCTTCAAGAAGCTATCTCCAAAATCTCCTTGTCACTCTTTGCAGTGGTCCTGGCGGCAGGAGCTGAGGTGACAGCTTTCACATACAAAGAGGTAGTGACTACAGTGCCTAGCTTGCTAGCCCTGCAGTGCACAGTCAAGACTGCTTGGGTGTTTCTGGCACCCTTGCTGTTTCTGGCCCAGGTGCAGGAGCGCACTACATTCCTGAGCCAAGGTGAGCTAGCTGCTAGGGCCTGGAAGGTCATGTAGGACCCCATCAGAATTCAGGTGGCCAGTAACTCTGTACCCCAGGACCTTTGTGGTCCTTACTACCGAGTGTCTTTGGGCTGTAGACTCTTCCTTTTATGAAGACAGCATTACCCCCTAGGGCTATGGGGCAGAAGCTATACCCTGACCTGCTGCCTGAACTTAACCCCAACTGGGCCTCCCACAAAGATTGTAAGCCTGCCAAGAATTACAGGACCCAGGCCAAGTGAGCCTGGCTCTGCTGTGGGCTTGTCTTTGGAAGGGAGGCTGAATAAACTGGAGACTGGAAGCCCTTGGAGCACAATAAATGATTGCTGAACTTGGCCTGACCCGGAAGTTGACGGTCTCTTACACGACGGGCCCTGCCTCCTATATGGAATCTGGCCAGTCCTGGCCAGGAGGAGTAAAGCCACCACCTCATGCCAGGTGCAGAGCTTTAAGGGGACAGGGAGCACAGACCATCCTGGAGGGGAGGTGTCCCATGTGGTCTGGGTGAGGGGCAGACAAGCCTGCAGAGCCCCAGGACAGCTGCCTAGTGATGTGTAAAATATTTATTCACTCTCCAAAAAGGCTCAGACTGCAAGTCCTGGGGATCGGTGGGGAGGGAGGGAGTCTCCTCTGGGGCCACATCCAAGGACCTCCACCCAGCCCTGGCCTAGTAGCACCCTCCCCCGGAAAGGCCTGGGAGGGGCAGCAAGGGCTGCCGTAAGACTTGGCCTCAACCTGGTGGACCACAGGGCCCGCCTGCCCCCTAGGGAAAAGCAGCCCCGAGAGGTCCGTTCATAGAGGGCAGACATGCAGGCCCACCTGGTGGCGGACCCCCTGCAGGCCAGGCTCTAGCCATGTGGCCCTAAGGAGCAGGTCAAGGTGGAGGGGGGATATCGGCACCCAGCAGGTCATAGGCAAAGACGTTCCAGAAGATGGCGAAAAGCAGGAAGGTGCCATAGGCAAGTAGCACCACCCACCAGCCGCACTGGTCCCTCAGGCGCTCCTCATAGCTTCGCAGGATGGTAAGGCCCATGCTTACACCCACCACTGCACCAGCCAGGTGTGCCATAAAGCTGGGCTGTGGGCCTGAGGCAGGCAGTGGTGGGGAGAAGCGCAGCCACACAGCCCGGCCCACTTCGGAACTCACTGCAGAGGGAGCAACAGGTGGGAGGGGCCCTGTCTGCAGGTAGAGGGCCTCCCAGCGCCCCACCTGCCCCGCTACTCACTGCACACCAGAGCCAGCACCATCCTCAGCAGCTTGTATGGACACCGCATCCCAGCCCAGTTCTGGGGGCAGGCAGACAGGCTGTGAAGCATGCCCAGTGGGCCCCTTCCCACCTCCCCTGAAGGGCGGCCCCATTACCATGACAACATTGGCCAGGTGTGCTGAGCACAGCGCATAGACCCCTCCAGAACCCCCTACCACAGGGGCACGCATGTCTGTGATAGAGACAGTCAGGGAGCCTGTGGGCAAAGGGAGAGAGGTGAAGGCACAGCTGGCCCTCAGTTCACCAGGTGAGGTAGGCAGGGGACCCTCTCGCCAGTGTGCCTGTCTCACCTGCCAGCACACCTGCCAGGTAGAGCAGGCTGATGCGAAGTACACCGTGTACCATCTCCAGGGGCACCCCGATCATCAGCTGCAGGAGGGCATTGAACCCTAGCTGTTCCAGCCTGGCCACAACGGAGCATTGGGGAGGGGTGATCAGGTGTGTGCCCTGCCTACCCTCAGACTAACTCTGGTCATTGCAGCCCCCCTGGGGGAGGTAAGGGAACAGGATTACTGGAAGCCCAGGCTCACTTACCCAACATGCATGAACATGTAGGTGAGGAAGCGCCAGGCGCGAGCGCGGTGTCCCGGGTGATACACCAGAGGGCTCTTCATGTATTCAGGGTGGTAGGTCTGGAGCACCCACTTGTTGAGACGTGCCCCGTAGCACAGGAACACGATGATCTGGGGACACTAGTGTTAGGGCTGGTCAAGACTAGGGACTCAGGAGGCCCCGGGGCAGCATGTGGGCAGGCCCACCTGGGCAAGGGTGACAGAGGCCATGAACACAGGGGGTGGGCAGCTGCGGTGCCGGTAGAAGTACCAGCGGCGATCCACCTCACAGGGCAGGATCTCGTAGGCCACGTATCGCACAAACCGCTTGTAGACACCCAGGCCTGGCTCATCTAGCATTCCGTCCCGAGGCAGCGCCCGTTGTCCATTAGCAATGGCCCTCTTGAAGCTGCTGGAACGCTTGCTGCTGATCTGAAGGGAAGGGGTCTTAGTGCGGGTGACAGTACTGTCCTTGTGGAACCCTGCCCTAATTGGCTAGGTCGCTGTTAAACTGAGGCCCTATTCCACACTGCCCAGGTCCATAAGCCCTGCCCAGTAAGCTGTCTGCCCACCCAGCTTTGGCCAGAGTGCTGTGCTTGGCCAGGTCTGGGGCCCTCCCCTGCTGCCCACACACTATGGCACTGACCAGGTCCACCAGCTCCTGGTAGCAGACCTGGCCCCGTTCGTTGCTCTGAGCCAGAGCCACCAACATGTCCAACTTGGTGGGGTCCAGGGGCAGCTCATGGCTGTGTACCAGACCAGCGAAGGTTTCCGCACCGATGAAGCCCGTATTCTCAGGATCCAGCTGCTGTGGTGGGGGAGTAGAGGGTGGGCCCAGCCACAGGGCTGAGCCAGGCTGGCTAGAAAGGCTGGACTTTTGTGCTAGTCAGTGCCTGTTTGCTAGAACCATCTTGTTTCCAGGCCCTGGCAGGGCAAGGTGCCTGGTGCGGCTGCTCTACCACCTCATATTCACCCTATCAATCCTAGAAGGGGGAGGACCTAAAGGGGAGGATCTAGAACCAAGGACCACCACCCTCCCAACTCAGCTTTCCGTGGAAAACCAGTGTAGCCAGACCTTGGGATAGTGAGTCGCAGAGGCCAAGGTCGTGCAGGGAGGGGAAGCTTCAGAGGTGGCTGCCTGGTAGAGCCTTCTGCGAGCATGGTCCCTCCCCCGGGCCCCTCACCGGCTGGAAGGACGCCAAGGCAGTGCCAGCTCCCACCCACCACGCACCTGCTCCTGGATGAGCTGCAGCAGCGAGCTCCTGTCCATAGAGCCGGGCCGAGGGCTGGGGTCGGCCGAGGCCGGGAGGGGCTGCTCTGCGGACCGCTCCGCTCCGCCCCGGCCGGCCCGCTCCACCTGCTCTGCGTGCACCAAGCTCAGACAGCGTCACCGAGATGCCAGCAGCCCTGCGCGCACACGGGTAGAGCACGCGCTTACCCTGTACGCGCACGCGCCGCCCGACTCGACGCACATCCTGGGTAGATTCGTCCCCCACCTAACAACTCGACCCAGAACCACCGCCTGCGCACTGGTCTTGCTCTTCGTGCTGAAGTTTCTCCCAGTAGCTGGGAAGCTGCGGCACCCATATCCCTCTTATGCAGCCTTTCTGATCTCTGTACTTGTACTCGGTATGCTTAACACCCTCTCTAGCAAGCTTCCCTGACCAAAAAATAGGCCTGTGACCCAGCCCCAGAATGTCAAGGTCCATTTGCACCCCACCGCACTCAGACTTTCTCCTGAGCTGGGAGCTGCTTGCAGTAGACACACCCTCGTCCTTATTATTTGCAGTATTGCAGCAAGGAAGCACCAGATTCGGCAAAGCAAGCAGACACCAGGTGGTAGGGTATTCCTAAGGCTGCTGCTCAGACCTAGACTCACCCTTCCCCAGTACTCATGGCTAAGGCCGGACACTCTAACCAAATACCCCTGCACTGGATTTGAAACAGCAGGGCCTCCAGTGCAGAAGCACCAGTCAGACATGGGGGATAGCCAGGCAGAACCATAGACTTCTAAAGTAAGGTAAGACCGCAGTTTGGATAAGGAGGGGATTTGTTCCTGAGGAGAGTGAAGGTGACAGATCAATGGGATGTGTAACCACGGCAAGCCCCCCCCGCCCCCCAGTATCACTCAGAACAGAACCTGGCTGCAGATATAGATGTGATGGCAATTCCTCTATAGAGAATACAGCTGCCTACAGAAAGCATCCTGTCCTACTGGGACAGGCCACTAGGCTGGGACACCGGCAGAGGGGAAGAGCCTCCCCACCAGGCAGACATTCTGTCAAATGACACACTGGTTACCTAGATGTGGGGATTCCTGTATTGGTGTCCTTGGTGCTAGGCTATGTTGAGCCCCAGTCTATCCTCCCCTAAACTCCTGAACTTGTAACTGTCAAGCTACACAGAAAGCCTAGGTTCTCAGCATAGCCAGGCTGGCTGATTGGGCTCAAGTTTGGAGTGTGGGGTAGTAAGGAACCCCCAGCACAGAAACACAGGGAAGAAGGGTCTCGCACACACCCACCCCACCGGTGAATGCTGACGTTACTGGACAACAGGCTCCAAATGGATCTTCCACAGCCATTTATCACCGCGACTAATCAGACCTCAGAATGGGGATCCAGGAACAGAGGGAGACAGGACGGTCAGGTGACATTTCCAATACACATACAGACAGAAATCACATTTAGAATGGCTAAGAAAAGTGATCTTTATGGGGCTGGAGAGATGGCTTGGTGGCTGGGACCACTTGCTGCTCCTGCAGAGGACCTAGATTTGTTCCCAACATCCAAATGGCGGTTTACAATCATCAGTTAACTCCAGTTCCAGGGGATCTGACACACTCGTCTGGTCTCTGTGGGCACCAGGCACACACATAGTACAATTACATACATGCAGGCAAAACAGACACAGAAATAAACTTTTTTGTTTTGTTTTGTTTTGTTTCGAGACATGGTTTCTTTGTGTAGCTTTGGTTGTCCTGGAACTCACTCTGTAGACTGGGCTGGACTTGAACTCAAAGAGATCCACCTACCCCAGCCTCCCAAGTGCTGGGATTAAAAGCGTGCACCACCACAGCCCAGCCACATTTTTTTAAAGAAAGAAAGAAAAAAAAAGCTGCCTTGAGACACCAGTACCCAAGAGCTGGAGAAGACAGGGGAGGTTTAATCAGGGGACCCAATTCCACTTGCTCTGCAGCTGGGAGAGTGTAAAGCTCCACACCGTACAGAAAGGTGGGAACTCAGTGACTATCGGGTCCCTCCCCTATTTGACCACCACCTCTTGTCCCCCACATGCCTACTGGCCATGCAGAACCAGGAAGCACCCTGAGAGCCCCTGGTCTTGGTCCCTGGCTTCCTTACCCACAGCCCAGCCCCTACCACACAATATTCCCTTCAAGGTCATGGCCTCACACCTCCAACCTGCACCCTCAGGCTCAGTAGGACAGGGCAAAACACAGCCCTGTTGGGGGCAAGAGATTTTGGAAGTCAAAGTTTAGACACAAAGTCCCTGAGCAGGTACCCCACATCAGTCCCGGGGACCCTGTAGCCACACAGCCACTACACCACCAAGCTGAAAGCCCATACTCCTCTGCCGCACGGGCCTCCACAAGGCACCACAGTGTGCTGTGCCTTGGTCAAGAGGGGCTCATGGGTCCTTTATCATCGGCTCTTCACTAGGACCCTGTACAGTGAGAAGCTAAGGATGGCAGCCACCGCAGTCCCGACAGCCACCAGCATTCCTCGGAGCCAAAAGGAGGGGGGGTGCAGCTCTGTGTGTACCAGGTGCCTGTGGAGACATGAATGTGCCATGTGTGTGCAGCCAAGAGGCCAGGCCAAAGGAGGCCCCCCAGCATGGCTCTCTGGGTCACAGGCCCTACCCTGTAGCTCTGACACCTTCATAACCAGATGACAGACTAAGCCCCAGGATAACGACCCCACACTAAGGCTGTGTAAGGTATACCCACGGGAAGGTAGCCATGGTAGCAAGTTGGGTAAAGACAGCTGTGTCGGGCTGTGCTGGTCCCAAGCAGGAGAATGAGGCAGGGGCAGGTAGCCGGTGCCTACGGCAGAATTCAGCTGGTGACAGGCCCGGTGAGGCAACACCTTCAGGAAGATCAGCTTTGGAGGAGATAAAGAGGCAGGGGGTCTGCCCGTCCATGTAATGGCGCTACCAGGAAAAAAACAAGTGAGAGCTGAGCTTGCTGGCCTTTCTAGCTACCCTGTGGCGGCTGGGATGCCCTCACAGGACCCTAGGCCAGGACTTGCCTTGTATATGGTAGCACAGTGTACAAAGGTCTTGGGGTCACTGCTATCAAACATTAAGCAGGCGACATCACAGGTAGTGTCCAGAGAGGTGTCCAGCAGGCTATCAGCACTTACTTCACACAGCTGGGACAAACAGTAGCCTTAGGGTCTTCCCCAAGGCTCAGTCCCCCGACAGCCACCCCGGGACAGCTCCATTAGGAGAAGTAAGAGGAAACATGGGGTGTCTGTCGCAGGTCTACCCTCCAAGATGGGGTGCATGGTCCCTCACTCACAATCAGGTACTTTTCTTGTCCGCTGACCCGCACTGTATTGATGGTGTACTTGGGGGGTCCCTCAGGGAGCTCCCTGGCTTCCTGTGTGAACAGTAGTAAAGAAGTCTTGATTTGCTCCCTGTGGTACCTCTCCTACCCCTTGAGTTCTCAGGTAAAGGGTTGGGGCCACCACGGTTCTCACCCTCAGGCTGTGGCCAAGGAAGGCTTGTAAGAAGGCCGACTTGCCCACTCCTCGGGCTCCCAACACCTTGCACATAAGCACACTGCGCTGTGTCTGCCCTTTTTCCTGATCTAGCCTCTTCTCACGGGTAACTGTAAAGAACTCACGTGAGGGGACTGGCCATTAAGGAGTCAGGCCAAAGGACCAAAAAAGTAGTTACCCACCTGTAATGGCCTGTGCTTGGGAGTCCTGGTCACAGAGGGTGGGGTAGCCCAGGTAGCCAAGGTGTGCAAGGCACTGCTGGACATCTAGGTAGGTCACCAGGCTGGGGGTAAAGGGAGGCACGGTGCTCAAGAGAGTTAAGGCCAGGGTGGGGAGGACTAGACAGGCAGGCACAGACTGCACTTACGTCCACTGGCAGAGATACCCATGCAAGGGCAGCCGGCCAGCCTGAGTGGGGACTGTGTGTGAGAGTTCAGGGCCCCAGGGTGCCACTGAGAACACACTGAAGAGATCCTGCAGCTCCGTGGGTGAGAGGGCACCATCATGGTCCTGCAGACAGAGGGGCTATGGTGACACGTACTTGGGGTGTGTCGAGGAGCAAGGGGAGCGATGCTCACCTGATCATGCTTCTCAAACACCCGCTGCACAAACTGGTAGCCGCGGTGGTTGAGCTCTGTGCTGCAGCCAGAGGGTACATGCAGCCTGTAGGGACGCCAGAGGCAGTCTAGTGCACTTCGGACTGCCACAATGCAGGACCTGCCTGGGTAGTCAGGCACTCCCAACTGAACCCTCTGGTCATATGGTTGGGGCTAGGCAAGGGAGTGGCCATGAGTGTGTGTTGAGAGGCCAAGCTATAGGTCCCAGGTTGCAAGATCAAGGTAGATCCATCAGGAAGCCAGTGCTGAGGGCCCCCCAATCCCAGAGAGGCCCAAGAGTATAAGCCCCGCTGCCCACCCGCCTGCAACTCACGGTGGAGAGAGGTAGTCAGGTGTCAGCTCCAGTGAGTCACTGTACCCAAAGCGCCGCAGGATGGTCCATGTGGTCTCGTGACGGCCACGTTGGATGAAGAGCGTGTTCAGGAAGAGGAAGCCTGTGAAAGGGTGGAGGGCTCGCGCTCAGCCCAGTCACTCCCCACACTCAGAGGCGTACAGTGATGTCTACCTCACCTTCCAGGGTCAGCCGGTTGTCCTGCACGCCACCTGCCACGTTCTTGCTTACTACCCTCTTCACATCATCCAGGGCCTGTGGGGCCAGGGGATGGCCGAAGCAGGACTTCTGCCTCCGGTAAGAAAGGGCTTCAGGTCAGTCAGCTGCCCGATTACTCTCTTAGGCGGGCAGCTAGGGTCTTGGGGCAGGACCACACCTGGAAGGCATTGAGCTCCCCATCACTGAGCGCATGATCTAGGTCCTGATCTGAGAGTCTGAAGATCCGTGTGAGAGCCTCGGCGCACGCAGGTCTTAGCTGCAGGGACACAACGCCAAGGGGCCCTCTCCCTGTTCACCCTGCCAGTGCTCCCGTTCACTTGCTCTCCTTACAGAACACAGTGCTCCCTGTGGTACCTTAGGATGAGTCTCGAGGAAGTGTGTGGCCCTCACTCACTGCTCACCTGTTTGGCCTCGGGGTCATAGAGGGGGGCCGTGGGGTGCAGAACAGCCTTCTGGGCATAGTAGAACAGTTCTGAGATATTCCTCAAGTGCTTGGCGGAACACTGGACGAGGGTGGGGACAGAATCAAGGAGGGATCTAAGACGGATATAGGAGAGCTGCTGCAGGGTCTTAACATGGGCCTTCCCAGACTCCCCGCTCACCTCAACGCAGGTCTCTATCTCAGGAAACTGGCTCATGATGGGTAGTACAGCCTCCATGGTACTCCCTGGTCGCAGGTCTGACTTATTGCCTACCAGGATGATGGGCAACCTGGGAGAGAGGCCATGATCACCAGGGATGGGGAGCAGGTGGGGTCTAGTCCCCCTAGCTGAGGCCCTGCGGGTCACCTGGGCCCTGTCGCGGTCCTGCCGTTCACCAGCGGGATCCACTTGGTTCGGATCTGAAACACAAGGCGCAAGCTCAAGGAAAGAATGCACATGCTCACCAGCGCACGCTCCCCCACCTGGGGCTAAACAAGCTTTAGGACTGGAGGAGAGCTGGAAGCCAGCTGTGGTCCTGTGGCCGAAGCTGGTGGGAGACTGTGGGTGACAGATAGGGGCTTGCCTGATCCCAACAGCTGCAATCTCCCCAAGCAGGCTGGGGTCCCTAGCTCAGAGGTATGGGGCTCCCTGAAACGCTCAACAGAGACGAGGCTGGGAATGAGGATTGAGAGGATCAAGAGCCACTGTGTACTGCCCAGGTCAACTGCCAGCTAAGCCAGGCACTAGCAGCAGGGGCTGAGAATGGACAAGGAGCTCCCCTCTTGCTCACCTTCTCAATGGTGGCTTCCTCAGACACATCGTACACCACACACACTACATTTGCCTAAGGAAAAGCAAGACACAGGGTGACCAGAGGCTGCCTGCTCACTATAAACAGCACAGGCCACTCCAGCACGTCCTGGGTGCAGGGGCTCTGAAGACTGGGAAGCCCACCTTTATCAAACAAGCCTCTCCCTGCCACACTCTCCAAGAGACCCCAGACACTAGCACCCTGGGCTCCAGTCAGCACAGTCTTGCCCTAAGTGCTTATGACAGACCCTCCACACGCAAGGGTACAAAAGCTGTCACTTCTAGTTCAGTACAGGCAGCAAGGATGCTGTGGACAAAAGCAAGGAGACACTGCCTGCACCCATAGGACACAGAGGCTGAAGGGCTGCATTCAGGAACATGGCAACTCTGGCAATGGCTAACTCCTAATTAAGATGGCATCCACCACAGCCTGGGGAAGCAGAGCAGTAGACTACAGTACACAGCCATGGCACTGGGGAAAGGGAGCATATTGTCTAAGGAGAAGCAGTGGAGGATACGTATCTGCTCCCCTTAGACCCTGGGAAGGAGCAAAGGAAGAAGCTCCCTTCTCTCCCTGAGCACTAACAGAGGCACTGGACCGATCCTGGTTCCCAGAAAGCTGTGATCTGGGAAAGCCAACAACATCCAGTGCTGAAGGTCAAAACAGAATTATCAGGGTCAAGCACAGCCTGTCACCTAATCCAGCTCCGCAGAAGAGGAAGCCGATTAAGACTAGGTGGCAGAGCTGGGTCCAATGAATCGGGCTCAGTACCC